ACCCATCAAAGGTATAAACTTTTGTTTAATAATTTAGATTCTTTATATATTTACTTTTATTTTCAAGTTTTAAAATATGTAAATTTTGGGGATGTTACAAAATTTTAGAGAGAGAGATTATTTTGGAAGAACTTGAAACTTTTATTGATTTGGAGCTTTGGCTTGTATTACAAATGAGTGAGGAGTGCTCTATTTATAGGTCTCATAGGATCCTTCTAGGCACTCGTATTTCCTTAAGATTCTCCAATATTCCATAGAATTCTAGCTTGGGAACATTCTAGAATTATTTAATAAGTACATTAACTAAAGACTACTCTAGATCTTTCTTTACTAACTCTAACTTATGGGCTAACTAATTTATTATTTCTCATACAACTATTAGCCCAATAAGTTAACTTCTAATGGACCCAATTATTGGGCTAAGCCAAGTTTGATTTCTAACAGATTACAATGTAAACTAGACCAAATCTAAATAGACCAGCACAAATTTAAACACATCAAATTAAATCAATTAAAGTAGTACTACTACGTAAAGTCGTAAACACTTAGAGTCTTAGATAGTTATAAAGTATAAAAAGATCCTATAGTAGTTTAATTTGAACGACAAGACTAACAGGAGTAAACTAGATTACATTAGAATTAGATTTAAAGAGACTAAACTAATTTTTCTGACACGAAACAACTAATTGACTATACCAGTTATCAAGAGAACAAGTTGGTACCAATCGGTGCGCATAAAATGATTTTGATTCAACTACAAATCTACAATTGACGGTCATTTATCATCTGCATGGAACACGTGGACCTTTACATTGGTAACGTCACATCATTTTGAACATTTTTATTGTACTATACTACTATTGTATACTGTAGATTTTTTATTAACTCCTCTTCCTTTCTCACTGCATGCATTATGTTCAATGCATTAGTAAAATAGGAGTAACTATCAAGAAGTGTTTGATAGCCACCCTTCTCTTTCAGAAGCCTTATTAAATGTCAATAAGAGAAGCAGGAACAACATTGTTTGTGAGGAGATGAAGCTTGAAATCTAAATTGGATCCTTACACTTGCAGAATAAATATATATCTTGGATTTGGTTTAGGAAATGGCATTTCTTGAACTGTTTTTGGTTGCACTAATGCCTGTTCTCAAAACACTCATCATCACCTCCATCGGCCTTTTTCTCGCTCTCGAGCGCATCGATATCTTGGGAGCATCTGCCAGGCACAACGTGAACAATGTAATATGTGTGTGTGTGTGTGTCTATGAAGCACGGGAAGTCGGAAAATATCGGGAAAATGTGTATTTGCGTTTCAGAAAGTCTCAGAAACTCTCTAAATACTTGTGTTCTACTTCGTGCATTAAAAGATGATGTTCCACGTTTCCCCATACTTTCCACGGCAGCATAGATATATGTATGCTCACTAACTTAGTAATCTGTATTTAGTACATGTGGGATTTACTAATCTGGTTCTGTTTTTGGTTGCATGCAGCTGGTGTTTTACGTTTTCACTCCAATGCTTGTAGCTAGCAGCCTGGCTGAGACCTTAACAGCGACCAGCGTTGTTACCTTGTGTGTTGGATTCTTATTTCTAGCTCAGATATATCTGATCATCTTAATAAACTTTTGCTAGTTAATTTAATTTCTTAATGCATATTTTTCGTTTCTAAATCTTCAGATGGTTCATGCCCTTAAACACACTCCTGACGTTTATCATCGGATCCGCTCTAGGTTGGGTCCTTGTTAAGGTCACAAGAACTTCTCAAGAGCTTCACGGTCTTGTCATTAGCTGTTGTGCTGCTGGTATATGCATATAAATTAACCATTTATTGTTGAATCCTAAAGTGACTTGGTGTTAAATCTTAAAGTTACTTCATACATTTATATTTTACTGATGTTGGATGACTTAGCATGCTCTGAATATGATGGCGTGCACTGTGTTTGTTGAGTCTTTGCCGAATCTAGTTGCTCATTTGAGCTTTCTTGGCGTTTCATTCTAAAAATTAAACAAGATCTTATATATTAGTTTGAAATTTTATATGTTGGTCTGAATCTTTATAATATTTGACCATGTGAGATGGCATAACAAATAGAACAATGTTACTCGTAATATAGTAGTCCAACAAGACTTGATTGTGTATAGGGAATTTGGGGTATTTGATGCTTATCATAATCCCGGCAGTGTGTGAGGAAAAGAACAGCCCATTTGGGGATTCTTCAACCTGTTCTACAAACGGAAAAGCCTATGCATCACTTTCCATGGCGGTAATGTATATTGTGAAAATAATGAAATTAGATTTATGCTGCTTTATTCTGGTCAATATTGCTTGCCAAACTCAAGGAAAAATGTTTATTTATCTATTCGAAATGATGCTTGAAGATAGGAAACATTTACATATGGACATACATATATAACATAATTCGGGCTTCTGGAAAGCCGCGGCGAGATTCTAGTCAGGACACGTTGAGTTCTAGCTTCTCAGATAGATGCAAAGAAAGCTTGCTTTCAAGTCATAGCTTAAAATATTATCAAGAAGAAGAGGAAGCTCAGCTAGTATGTGATCATCAAGAAGAGGTCAATTAGTTCTTCTGCTTTATTTGAAAAATATAATTCCATTCATTCATTTTTCAACTATTCAATATTCCATTCATTCTATTTTGATTTCATCAGTTTTACTTTCACTTTTGGCAAATAACTTTGACTATTTGTATAATTAATTATCTACTATGTAATATATATTATAAAAAATTGATGTTTCCAAATATTCTTTGAAATAAATTTTACAGCATTTTGCATTATACCATTTGTGTTTATACATCAACAGAAATGTATGTCAAAACAGGACAGGTGGGGCCGTGAAAAAGTTCAAATGTGCGTTTTTAAGAGATAGGAATTATATCAATATTAATGACTTTCATCATCATTACTTCATTAGCCTTTTCATGCAGCACCAACAATCCGTAGTGGCGAGGATCAAACGGAGCGTGAACTTGTGGGTGGAGAAGTTGAACCTAAAAATGATGTTTGCACCATCCACCATTGCAACAGTATGATCACATTCTTTTCATACTTTTAGGCCTAATGATTGAATTTATAAGTGAAGGAATGAACTTCATGTTTCAGATTGCTGGAATAACTATCGGAGTAGTACCACTATTACGAAGGTTGATGATTGGCAATAATGCTCCACTTCGTGCAATTAATAGCTCTGCAGCTATGTTAGGGTATGAACTCTATTAAGACTTAAGATTTCATCTCTAAATAGTTTGTGTTGTTTTCATGTTTTGTATGTTTATACTTAATCAACGTGTGACCAAACATATGGCAGGGAGGTAGCAATACCAGCTTCGACACTTATAGTTGGAGCCAATCTTCTTAGAGGTTTTCCTCTTTTTCATGCTTATTAGAGGGAGTAAGACGAGACCGAACATTGGTAATATTAATATTTTGTGTTTGCAGGGCTAAAAAAGCAGTCAGTTGGGGTGTGGGTGGTGGTAGGGGTGCAGGTTATTAGGTTCATCCTGTTGCCTCTATGTGGCATTGCCATCATGAAAGCAGCTCGGCATTTCGGTTTGGTGGGGTCGGATTCCTTGTTCCATTTTGTTCTTCTCCTCCAATATGCACTTCCTTCTGCTATGGGGATTGGTAAGTAACATCTCTATTATTAATCACCCCATTTGTAGCACTACTTTCAGTCCTTTGGTTTGATGTTTTTTATATCAACAAATGGTTATTTAAAAGCTGAAGATGATGGAATGTGATGTTTTGGGAATTGACAGGAACCATGACTCAGCTGTTTGAGGTTGGGGAGAGTGAATGTTCTGTGATATTGCTTTGGAACTATACTCTGGCTTCCTTTGCCCTTACTCTATGGAGTGCATATTACATGTGGTTTTTGTCTTGATTTTTTTAAGAAGGAAAAAATGATGTTATTCAGAATAATAGGGGGTTTTGTTGACTTTATTCCAGGAATGGTTCTTTACTCTTGATCATTTTCAGGATTACATTGAGCTATAAAAACAGTAAAAAGTCTTTAAAAATTGTACCATTCTGGCATTCTGATCATTCACTTTACTAAATTACCCTATCCGAAATGGCTGACTTGTTCCTATTCCATGGTTGCAGTTATTTTCGGTATAACATGATATAAAGCTAGGTAAGACATTTACTAAATAATTCATTTTTTTATAATTATTTCTAAACATAAACAAATAATATTAACTAGAAGAAGCTAACTGGTAGACACTAATTACCAAGTGTTCCTACTTCCTATTAGTGCCAATTAAGATATTTTCTGTAGATTTGGAGATAGGGATGGACTCGGGCCGGGCCAACCGGCCCGGAACCGGACCGGCCCGCTACTGTGCGGGCCCGGACCGGCCCGGTCAACCGGTTCGGTTCCGGTTCGGGCCTCCAGGCCCGGTGGTATACCGGTCCGGGCCCGGGCCTCCAGTTTAGTGAACCGGCCCGGCCGGGCCGGGCCCGGTTCGGGCCGGAATTTAATTTTTTTTTTTTTTTTTTTGAAATTTTTTTAAGTTTTGGGTTGGATTAGGTATTTTGGGCCATTTGAGGTGGTTTGGGGTGGTTTGGGGTGGAGGGGGAGGGGTAGGGGGTTAAATAAGAGAAGAAGAAGAAAAAAAAAAAACATTCCGGGTGGCCCGGCCCGGCCCGGCCCGGTTCTGGCCCGGAACCGGAACCGGAACCGCCCACCACCGGTTCGGGCCCGGGCCTCCTTTTTCTGAACCGAGGCCCGGCCGGGCCCAGGCCCGAACCGGGCCCGAACCGGAACCGGTCCACCCCTATTTGGAGATAAGGAAAGGGAAACAAAAGAGGTCTGCAGGGTCCAATTTGTAGGGGGTGAGGAGAAAATGAGGACGGGCAGTAGTCATGAAAAAAAAGGAAAAAATCAATGTAAAGGGGCACAACATCATGACAAGCAGGGGTTGGCACAAAACAACCAAATCAAACCCTTAGAAAAAGTGATCTGTTTTCCCTAATGTTTAAATATTTACTGACTTGCTTCTTTAGACTCGACATGCTTACTAAATAGTACATGCATAATCCCTCATTTAGGCTCATTTACATAAATACTAGTATTAATATTTGTGCACTGAAGAATATGTACATCCATAGCATGATTTTAGAATGAGGAAATTCTAATGTCCTGCGACCATTTCTACAGCAATTAGTGTTGTGCAATTGTACATCACTATCATACTGATCATCATATGGGCCATATGGGTATTGAAAGCCAGTTTATTGTAATCTTTGGCTTTGGGGTTGAATTTCTGAAGGGTCAACTAACCCTTCTAACACAACAAGCTCATCTAGAAGTCCCAACTTCTCCTCCTCAAGAACTTTGATGTCATCTTCAACTTCCATTAACTCTTTCCCAAGTGTAAAACTTTCCTCTTCAAGGAGCAAATATTTTTTCCTCAATGCCCGATAGTCATCTGCAGGAGTAGACGCATCCATTGCATGACCTCTTATGGAAGAAGAAGCCTTCTGCGCTACTTGCATCCTTTTCAAAGTGTTCCCTTGAGTTTGGGGGGAGCAAGTTTTTTGTGCAGAGGCTTTCTTTTTGTGTGACTTGCCAAAATTCTCCTCCATCTTCTGATCTTGCAATTCTAGATACCTGCAGGAACACCTGAAACACAAATCCCTTAATTTTTTATGTCTAATAATCAATAAACAAAATCTGTCTGGACAAATATAAAAAATGTTTGATTGAATTTGAACAAAAATTTTACATTCTGCAATATTTTCTTTCCTTCAGAACCGTCTCTCAACTTTTGTCGTGTTCTTTCTCTAACATATAATCCTCCTTAAGTTCCAAACAGACTATAAGGAAATAGTAACACTGTAAGCACTCTCGAGAATAATGATATTAAATATTAATAAACTACTCACTCTATGACAAACATTATCGATTTTCTTAATATGCCTGCTTACAGTAGTATATCATATGAGGCTTTTAAAACACTACTAATATGACATTATACTATCAGGGCCAACTTATATTGTACCGGTGGTTGTATCAGGGCCAATCCTGGGAAAATGGTACCTTGTGTTAGAAATTTACAATACGAGTTACTAATGAACATAATAATAAAAATAAAAGTATTCATTAACAAATACATTTTGTTCACTCTCTAGGGCCTCTCCAGCTGTTTTAATAACGATTTTATCAAGAGCTCCTTTTCGAGCTAAGGAGCTCTTGATATTCAACTTGATAAGGTCTTCTTTTCTTTGAAGCTTGTCATACAGGATAGGCATTTCTTTGGAAACATAATTATTACTACGTATCAATTATTGAAGTCCTCCCCTAATCATGTACATGTTTACAAATTTTATATTAAATTTCATTTTAGATTTCGGGTGAAACCATGAAAGACTATGACTACGGACCTAAATAGCTTATAAATTATAATCAATTGAATCATCCCCAATATATTAACTGTAAATTCGTAATCAAGTGAATCCATCCCAAATTCTTAATTGTTAAATACAATCATAATCAATAGAATAACTTAAATTCATTAAAGAAATAACAACAACCTAAATAGCAATTAAAAAGAGAGAATACAGAAAATTGGTCAAAGAATACGGAATACCTAGTAACGAATAACAAGGCAGTGAAACAGAGCTTCCGGCGACCCGCAGAGGGGCTGAGGGCCTGGATGGCTGGCGAACCGCAGAGACGCAGCGCCGGTGAGGCAGAGACGCAGAGGGCCTGGACGGACTCCTGGACCTGGAGGCGGGGCACGGTGGCTGGATGGCGGCGAAAGAGAGTCAGTTGTTGCTCAGGCGCTCACTACCGCTTTTCTTCCGTTCTGGTCAGTTGTTTCTCTTCGGGACCTGGGCTGGTACAATACTACTACGGAGTACTATTTTAATTTCGAGCCTTAAAAAAATGGATGGGCCTTGTACAAGTGGGTTGGGTACCCTTACTTTGGGCCGGCCTGGTCTGTACCTTGAAAATGGTACAGTCGGGTTTAGGGAGTTTCTATTTGTAGCCCTTAAATTACTAACCACAGCCACTGAATTAAATAATAAAAAATAAAAACAACAACAATATCTTAATTACCCTTCTTTAATGTAAGGATCGTTAAGTGAGCGCCGTAGACACTAGACAAGAATGCAAATGCAGCAGGAAAGCAAATGCAGGAACATGAAGGCTTGAAATAATTGGAAACGCAAAATCCTGGGAGGGAAGCGGTCAAGCGCAGAGAGCCAGCGAAGGGAGAAACCAAAGAAGGGAGAAAGCCACAAATGCAGAAAGTCCAAGCATACTTATTACCCTAGTATCCAACTTTTGTCATTGATTGTCTTTTAGGTTGGTCCACTCTTAGAGTTTCTTTATGGGAAAGACAACCGCTAGTGGATTTTTCCTCAATCAATCTCACAATAGGATTATTAGCCAGTTCAAAATAACCTTCACATACAGATATTTCTGTAACTTCCTTATAGAAAGATGGAAGTTATCACTTTTACATGAACTGTAAATGTCCTCCACAAAATTTAGAACGTCATTGATACGGAAGTGCTTGGGTTGTCCAGAGAAACCATCACATCTATGAGTTCCCTTTTTTGCCATACAATTTTAGTAAGTTCCTGAGTACTGGTTTAACAACTGATGAATGAATGCCCAAGCTCTTCATAGCATTGAAGGAATCTACAACCCTTGGATCAGGCGCCATATAATTTACACGGAATGTTTCTGTAAAAAACTGATTTGTCTCCAACATTCATAAAACATAAAAACACAAATACTCACGTGATTGGGTTGAAGGCCACTCCTTTATTTCATTGAACATGGGCCAAAAAAACTTCACTGCTTTTACCTCTTCCCATTTTTGAACAAATTCATAGTCATCTGATCAATAAAATATAGATAAAGCATTTTTTCAGAAAATATATCTCCAAATTTTAGCTCAAAATTCACTTCACTTTGGAACATTATTTTCGCCTACTCCGATTAATAAGAAGTAGGGTTATTTTTCAATGATTTCGGTTTACATATCATGGCTTTTTCTTATATTTTATATGGCCTAAAATAAATCATTGTTGTTACAAGTCCCATTTTATACATTGAATTGTATTATGACATTTCTGCCTGTGGAAAAAAAAATATTACACCAACCTGTGCGCATTATATTATATCCTGAAGTATGAGACCTGAGTTTGTCATAATTGTTTTTTTTTGTATAATATTAGCCTTCACTTTACATAATTACTATGCTCATACTCCCAAATAATGAGGTATCAGTCAATTGTATAGTAAATAGAAGGTAGATCAGACACACACCTTAATTGTAATGGTGTCCTTGTCTTTGACCTTAAACATGTCAAGTTTTGGCAGCAATTTCAACTAAACTTGTTTAGGAGTAATACCGTCAAGATCTTTTACACGAAACTTAGCAATACCCATTTGCTCTTTCTGTCCAATATTGTTTTTATCAAAGACTTGTTAAGAGGAAGGAATTCAATACTAATAGCACTCATAACAATATACTATCTTGCAAAATGGAAACATTGTTAACTGTGATCCTATGGTAAACATTAAAAAAATGCACAACAGCCAGCAAACAGATTACAAGACACTCTTATATATGCAAGAAATTGTGGGGATTCTGGCACACAACTTCCATATCAAACAAATTTAGGTTCGACTTCTTTAAAATAACGTTGTAAGAAATAAAAAGTAAATAAACTTAATGATACTAACTTGACCACTAAATAATATTAATAGGTCACTGAAATTTGATGCATTGGAGTACGTGTTGAGAAAGATCATTTGATTGACCATACAATAAGTAAAAGAATGATGATTGGAAGCAGTCCAGACAAAAAGTTGCTCTCTACTTATGCAAACAGAAAAACATTTACCCTTATTCAATTGGCTCTAATCTTTTGACGAACTTTAGCATTCTTAGACACGACACTTAGAGTTCCAGTTCAACCTCGTTTTCTAAATGAGATTTCTAAAGAATGTTATTTATATATCTTATTAACTTAGTTTATTAGCTAAATTTTAATGGGCGGTATAGCAACTTAGTGTTGTAAACTCTTTGTCCCTTCTTTTACATATAACCTAACTTGAATACTCTAAGTAGTGGACAAATACTACATTGATATTTGCACAAAAAAACAATCTGAATCAACAAGTACATATCCTTTTTAGGCTTACATTAAGCATGAAAAAAGAAAACAAAGTACAATTTAGTTAAGCCATTTATTTAAATGTGTATTTGGTCAAAGAATATACTGCTACTTTACCACATCACTACATCACATAATTGATTGCAACAATATGGATTTTTTAGGAAAATTTTGATTTGATTGGAGCAGAGTGGAAAAAACAAAAACAAAATCTAATTAACATTGGGGAATAAGACTTTTTTTTGGGAAAAATTGGGGAATAAGACTTACTTCATAGATTTGGGTCTCATGTTTTAATATATGGGCAAATTATCAATCTCAGTAACTAACAGGTCCTTACGGAGGAAGATTGGAAGAATAGAGTTCCAGTATTAACTGGGATAAGAATTAAGAACCAAGAAAGCTATAATAGCAGGTGGTGTAAATATTAGTAAACTGTCAAAGACAGAGATAGTTCATTACTTGGACATCCAAAAATAAAGAAAATTAAAAATATAAAAATAAAGAAACTTAGAACACACATACAAATCCTTAACATGGAAATAAGACTTGCGTACAGGTGTTAAAAACACAACTCGTAAAGATAGGTAAACTAGTGTTTCAAATTTGGGATTTCAACCGTCTTAAGTTTGACTTGATCACAATATCTACTATTTCAGTTCGTATGTGGATATTTGAAACTAGGAAATATTTTTTCAGGACATTGGAAAAGATCGGAAGTAGAAGCTAAGTTAAGATGGAGCTACTTATCATTAATTACCATCCATGGCATGTTGAAGGAGCAAATGTAAGGGCCGATCGCGGTTCACCGGGCTCATTTCGCGCAGTAGGAAGCCAGGAATTAGATGAAAATCGACTTCGAATCGAATGGAAGTATCATGAATTGTGTGCTGCTTATCTGCTGGTTGTTTCGTCTGCCCCGTCTGTCGTTTTTATTTGCTGATCGGAGGAAGAATGGGATATGAATCTAACTTCTTCTTGGGTTCTTTCTAGCTTTTGAACTTCAAGCATGGAGTTTGGATAATTGGATGTAGATGTGGCTGTGAGTAAACTTCCGACGACGTTAAATTAAAATAAGGCCATAATCGGAATTTAAATTAATTACTTAAACGGGTGTTTGTAATTAGCAAATAGAAGGCTGCATATAGAATTTCCCCAAGTTTTATTACCACCGCATACTCACCCTTGATGACCTAAACAGAAGTTTCGCCCCTCCCACCACATCGACGCCACGCCGGTCGCACCCAAGTGGCTGCCTCGTTGCACGCCGCTCGCACATGTAAGGACAGTTCGTCGCTTGCACCCATAAAGACGGCTCATTATTCGCAGCCAAACGGCCAGAAGGTCAGACGCTCGTCTCATACCAGATGCTCCTACTCGCTGACTCCTTTTAGCCGACGAAACCCACACGACCACCGCAAATGAAGTTGGAGCTCGCGATGACGAGATGGGATCATGTTCACATAGTCTCAGGGCTCGTTTTGTAGTTTGCACGTTAAATCTTTGCACGAGAAGTGATCGCATGCAAAGTATAGGGGAGCAATCATTTTGCATTTTTGCATGTAAAATAGATTACATTGTTTGGCTAGATGTGTTATTTATTTTTAAATTGAACGCAAAGTCGTTGCAGTGCTTCATAAAAGGCATGCAAAGTATTTTACCACCCTCCCCCCACGTAAAATACTTTGCATGGTGCAGTGCTAAATGTTTTAAAAAAGTGCCCTACAGTTTACATTAAATAATCAAACCAAACAGTGTAAACATTTTACGTCCTTACACTTCGCATGCAAAGTAATTACTTTACATCCTACCAAACACCTCCTCACTGTTTAATACTCCCTCCGTCCCGCTAAGCTTATCCAATTTTACTTTTTCGAAAAATCTTACTAAAGGGGGTGTATTCAATGGAGACATTTGTAGACATTTTTAAGATGTGGGATTTTAGGAGAAATTTATGGATTTGTCTAGATTTGTGTGGATTTGGACATGAGACATATTAAGACATTTTTGGACTTTATTTAAGTTTTCCCTTAAAAATAAAAAATTGTTATTAAGGATTATCTTTTCACACTCACAAAAATTACAATGTACCTATTACAATGAAGGGAAAATGATGTTATCACTTTGCATTCACGGTTTGAAAATAACGCAAAAGTGATTCTGAATGTCATCAAAAACATAAAAACCTAAAAAACTATACTAGTTAATAGCATTATCCCACATATTAAGAACATTGAGAAATATTATTGCTCAAGAAATAAACATACAAATCATCCCAAATACTCGAAATGGGAAAAAGGTTTTGGGCAAAATACTAATATTGTATACTATCATACTAATAAATTGAAATACATATCATTTCAATTTATAGGATATCCATTCTGCACGATCTGCGGTCATGTTAACGAATTCAGCTTTTTTGCTTTCGTATTAAGCAAATCAAGAGCTCTGAAGCGATCATCGGCACACAAACTCGGGACCTCCTTTATCATATCCCAGCAATTGTACTCTTTTGTGTCGATTGATTTTATAACACGGGCAAATCTGTCCACATTTTCTGTGAGCTTCTCCATGGACTCTTGGGTGCCTTTCGCATCAATAGACATTGGTTTTTTCTGAAAATCAGTCCTACTTCATTTGTTTTTTGATTGGCGTACCTCTGAGCGGGGCTGTTGAACCGATTGCGGGGCAGATTGAATCTCAGGAGA